TCTGGAAAGGTAGACTAGGTTCTAGCTCATAAACACATCCAAGTCATATAAAATAAAAAATAATTTTAGGGTTGAAGGACTTTTTTCTCTTTGGTCCTAGTGAACAAACTCAGTACTTCACACATGCTAGGAAAGCCTTTACCCTTGGGCTCAGTACTCTTTTATCTTTTGTTGAAGAATTATAATTTTTTTCTTTTTAAGACAGCGTCTTACTATTTAGTTAAAGCTGGCCTTAACCTCACTGTGTACCCTAGGCTGGGCTCTCAAACTTGCCAGGGATCTTCCTGCCTCGGCCTCCTGAGTGCTGGGATCATGGGCATGTGCTACCACTCCCTGCAGTTTTTGAAAATGTAATTAATTTTTTTGAGATTGTTTCAGTGTTTAGTTCAGGCTACCAGTTAACTCACTATGTAGCCCAGGCAGGCCTTGAACTCTGAGAGACCCTTCTGCCTCAGCCTTCTGAGTGCTGGGATTACAAGTGTATGCCCCTATACCCAGCTGGTTGAAGGATGTTAAACAAGAGTAAGTCATGGTAGAAGACCTGTAATAGAATTTGGATTTTGAGCGCAGCACAGTGACCATTGATAAGAAGGCTCTGGCCTAGAGTTGGGTCTGAAATAGGGCTAGAGAAAGGAAGACAGTGAAGTGTACGGCTTGTTGTGACATCCTGACTCACATCTACCATCCTCAAACCTATCAGGGTCCACTTGTAAATGGTTAATGTCATTAAGTCATGTGATTGGAGATGAGCCGTACAGACACAACGTAGGGACACATTTTGTTAACTCTGGTTCTGTTGGAGTATAAGCAAATTTATACTGATGGAAGATACTTTCTCCTAAGACTGAAGTTAAAGTAAAGCTGTCTAGTCTGTCATGTGGTATTTCTAAAAATTTAAGATATTAAAATGAATACAAGTGGTATGAACTGATAGGAAAAAAGGTGTCTGTATTCTTAGCATTTAATTTTCTGTACCCTCCTTTTAGCTTCTAATTAATAAATGAGGTAAAGCTAAAAGAGCAGAGTAGGAACATGTTCCAAGATAGGACACAGGAGGGAAGGAACAAAGTGGTAAGGGCAGATTTGGTCTCAAGAAGGAAGGTTTTTTCCAATCACTAGGGAAGATTTGTCTGTTTAGAAATTAGAGGTATAAGCTGGCATGGTGGCACACACCTGTAATCCTAGCACTTGTAAAGCTGAGGCAGTGGAGGGGGAGGGCTGGGGATTTAGCTCAGCGGCATAAACGCCTGCCTTGCAAGCAGGCAGTCATGAGTTCGATCCCTGGTACTGAAAAAGACAAAAAAAAAAAAAAAAAAAAAAAAAAAGCTGAGACAGTGGGATCACCAATAATTCGAGGCCAGCCTGGACTACATAGTAGATTTAAGGCCAGTTTGAACTACATAGCAACAACCTGTCTCAAAAAACAAGAACAAAAAAATTAGAGGTTTACCTCTAAGATGAGTTTATAGGCATTTTCGGATTAGTGGTACCATGGATCCAGGAACTGTGATATGTATCAAAAACGATGAGCACCAGACAAACGGTTTTGGCTAGAAAGAGTAGCAAGTCACAAAGTAGTTGACACCAGCATTTTCTATCTTGAGCACCAAGTCTCGAACAAACAACTAGTACTAAAACAAAGTTTTCACATCAAGATGGATCAGGTACCGAGCTGGGTAAGTTCCAAAACAGCCAAGTACTAAGGTATTACTATATAGTACTTAGCTATAGTAAGGAAACGGATACATGTTTTGTTTTGTGGTTTTTGTCTTTTTGAGACAGAGTCTCACTATGCAGTTCAGGCTGGCCTTGAACTCACTATGTAGCCCAGGCTGGCCTCTCGGCTTCCCAAGGGCTGCGATTACAGGCATGTGCTGCTCTGCCTGGCAGGAATCAGATACATGGGTAAATTGAAGAATGTTGTTGAAAGCCGGAGAAGACCTACAGTGCCCTAGGGAAAGTCAAAAAACCAAAGCAAGAGCAGTTCTCTGTCATCATCCAACACAGGTATTTTGAGCAGGAGTCCAGTGAGACTGGAGACAAGCACATAAAAACAGATAATTACAATGTAATATGTAAGTGTTACAGTTGCGTACTGGCAGACTAGCCAATCACTTGCCTAGAGAGGTTAAGTAGATGTATAGAGAAGGTGACATTTAAACTGATTCTTAAAGGCGTATTTACCAGGACCAAGAAGTAGGAAAAAAACATTCGTAGGCAAAAGAAATGGAATATGCAAAAATCAGGACATGTAGGACAGTGTGCCATGTTATTATACTGTGTCAAATAGTTTTTAGGATGTGTAGCTGGCTATGGTGGCAAGGGTTATAACCCCAGCACTTGGGAGGCTGAGGCAGGAGAATTGCTACAAACTCAAGGCCAGCCTCGACTACCTAGTGAGTTCAAATCTGAACTACATAGCAAGACCCTGTTTCAACAAACAAATGTATTTTTTTTTAAAATGCATAAAATGTGTTTAGCTACACTTGAAGGTAGCTAAACACCTATCTTCCATCTATTTAGGGGACAGAAACTGAGATCTAGAGGATTTAGTTAGTTGAGTGTTATGCAGTGTGAGTCAGAGCCTAGACTGGGTGTCCCAAATGGGAATGCCAAGTCTTATTCCCCAAGAAATTCTGTGTCATAGTAATAGATTGCTATGCATTCATGAGGATTGGAGTTGTTTCACTTCCTTGGAACGAAATTGCACAATCAAAATTGGCTTCTTGGTGTTTGCCCTTTCCCCATATGCTTCATCCTCATGCCTGAGAAAATTGAAGAAATCAGGGAATCCCTATGCACAGCAGGTAGAAGTGGGCTAATTCTGTCCAGATAAAGATAATGTGAATTTGGAAGATGGATGCAGCAATACCGCTGTACCTTGGTCGTCACAGACAAAAAGAAGGCAGAGAAATTGAAGCGGTCCCTGCCTCCAGGTTTGGCAGGGAAGGAACTAAAATGAACCATACATAGTGATTTGACCTGTATTTTAAAAAAAGGAATCTCAGTGGTATATTCTTAATGTGTATATACTAGGCTGTGGATTCAATCCCTAGTACTTAGAAACTTAAGCAAGAATCTCAATATTTGCCCCCACCATGTGATGTAGGAATGGATCCTGAAGTGTTCAAGGCATCCTGACGAGTAGTCGATTTAATTTGTACACTCAGAAGTACTTTTAAACTGGGCACAATGGCACATGCCTGTAAGTCTCACGTTCAGGAGGCTGAGGCAGGCAGATAGCCATGAGTTGGAGGCCAGCTTGGGTTATATAAGCAAATTCAAGGCCAGTACTAAATAGTGAGACCCTGTCTGAAAAAACAAACAAGCAGAAGCTGTCTTATTTCTTACCTGCCTTTCCCATTTAACACAAAATTGTAGCAGTAGCTTTGTTCAGGAGACACATTGTTTATCTTTAGTAGCTATTTTGCCAGCTAGGTGGGGTAAGTTTGCTCAGAACTCCTACAGGATGTGAATCATTTACATTCACAAATTGACCTGTTCTCACTTTGTTCTTTCTGAGAAGAACTTTGTAATAGTTTGTATCGCATGACATAGGAAATATGACATCATTTATATTTACAGTGTCATCCTCAATTTTCAGAATCTATGACAAGCCTGAGAACTTTGAGTTGCCTTGTTGAACATCTAATACAAGCTAGAATAAATCCAAGAAAATCTTATCATCCATTTGCATAAATTGTTTGAGGTTTTTGGATTGGGGGAATGAACATGGAATAGTAGACAACAGAGCAATATCTAAGACTCCAATTGTTAGTCTATTTAAAAATTGTGCTGAAACCTTTCAAAACTTTCTACTTGTTTCTCTAAATTAATTTCCTAAAATACTTTGTCTAAAACAAGTGGCTACTTGGTAAGGCAATCTGAGCATTTAGCTGACATTTAGAATTAATCAGGAAGGCCAGGCATCGTGGTACACACCTGTAATCCCAGCACTCAGGAGGCTGAGGCAGGAGGAACACTGGGTATGGGGCCAGTCTAAACTACAAAGTGAGACCCTGATCCCTCCACTTGCACACAAAGAATTAATCAGGAAGAGTAATAGTAAATGCATTGCTTATGGGAAACTTATTCTTAGTAAAGAAATGTGAATTACAAGTAATGGTGGGTGCTAGTGCTGAGAAATTTTGAATTGTTTATCTGTGTGCCAAGAATGTATAAGAGAGAATACTATATAATGAGGTAGGTAGTACTTGTGAATTTTGAATGCTGTCAAGAAAAAAAGACACTGAAAGGTATAGAATTGAACTGGGAAAAAAGGAACATGGAAAGATAAAACTAGCTCTCAGCAGAAGACGACCACCAGGCCAGGTAGGGCTGTTGTCTCCCAAGCTGTGGTTGGATTGGCTCCACTGCAGAAGTTACCATGAGAAAGTATACTTGCTTTAGTATTTGTAATAGCTGTGTACTTGACAAGGGTTCTCAGGGCTGGGGATTTAGCTCAGCGGCATAAGCGCCTGCCTTGCAAGTGTGTGGGTCGTGAGTTCCGATCCCCGGTACCGATAAAAAAAATGAAACATGAAAATGAAAAATGGAAAAAATGAAAAGAAAAAAGTGTTCTGTTCTTTCGTGTAAACAAATTCGGACCTCTAAATATAGCAAACCATCGAAAGGAAATAGTTTTATACCTTGTTATTTATGAAACTAGCTGTGGCAAGCCGCGACTCCTAAGGCAGCTTAAACTGATTGAATCAATGCTAGGAATTCACATTAAATATGGTATTTACTCCCACTTTTTTTCAGGAAATAAACTGTTTTGGGAATATCAAAAGCAAATGTACTTTCTCACACAAAATTGGTCAGACCTTACTCTCTGTGTGTGTGTGTGTGTGTGTGTGTGTGTGTGTGTGTGTGTGTGTGTTCTTTGCATTGCATATAGAGGCAGGATGGTGCCAAACAGTATTCACCCTGGTGAATAATATCTGTCTTGGTTAGATCATTCTTACCTTACTGGTATCTTTTCCTGTTTCATTACTCAGTTATGCTGTAATTGCCTATGGCTGTGCCAGCTGCCCAAAGCTAACCTGTGAAAGAGAAGGCTGCCAGACTGAGTTCTGCTACCACTGCAAGCAGATATGGCATCCAAATCAGACCTGCGATATGGCCCGTCAGCAGAGGGCACAGACACTGCGAGTTCGGACCAAACACACTTCAGGTCTCAGTTATGGGCAAGAATCTGGACCAGGTATAAGTTGGCATTATCTCATTGTCTCTTTATTTGGTATTTCATAATGTGAGCCCAATTGGAAAAGATTATCTTATTATATGACCTCAGTATTCTTGTGATCCAAAAACAGAAAATATCATTTATTTCTTTTTTTAAATGCAGTGCTGCAGGGGTTGAACTCATATACTATACCTCTGAGCTACATCGCCACTTGTCGTTGTCTTTGTTGTTGTTGTTGAGATGGGATGTTGTCAGGGTGTCCTTAAACTCCTGGGTTCAAGCAGTCCTGCCTCAGATTCCTAGGTAGCTGGATCACAAGCATACATACTACTGTGCCCAGCTTAGTTTTACTTTTCAGGGGGCAGGGGCAGGGAGACAGGGTCTTGCTATCTAGTTCAGGCTGGTCTCAAACTCACAGAGATCCTCCTGCCTCAGTCTCTCAAATGCTGGGATTGCAGGCTTGGTTGTACTTTTAATAATACATTATATTTGAAATGTAACTTCCCTCTCTGGCTATTATATGTTATCCCAGCCACATAAAATTGAAATAAAACAAAATTTAAAAATTTTTTTTTGTCTTTTTCCTTTTTATCGGTACCAGGGATCGAAATCACGACTGCCTGCTTGCAAGGCAGACGCTTATGCCGCTGAGCTAAATCCCAGCCCCCAAAATTAAAATCTTAAGTTTCCTCCTTTTTAATGAGTAGATCTTAGATTGGAGAACAATTAGGTCCTTCCTTGAGGACCTTTTTCAGTGTTCTCATTGTGAGCAGAAAGACTTCTAAATAGTATTAATTTGTACTTTTTGCCTTTTACCTTAAAGTGCATCAGTGTTGGGGGCTGGGGATTTAGCTCAGCGGCACAAGCGCCTACCTTGTAAAGCAGGCAGTCGTGAGTTCCAGCCCTGGTACTGATAAAAAGGAAAAAGACAAAAAAAAGTGCATCAGTGTTTTAGATGTAAGGTGTAGATTTTAGAAAAGGAAATACCAGTAGAGATTAAGGATTAACATTAAAAAGAGACTGCCACACTTTCAGTTCCAGCCTTCACAGTTAGAGTAAACCTATTTTAAAGTGTAAAGCCGGACATGGTGGTGCACTCCTGTAATCCCATCACTCAAAAGGCTGAGGCAGGCAGATCTTCCTGTAATCCCATCACTCAGGAGACTGAGGCAGACAGATCTTCCTGTAATCCCATCACTCAGGAGGCTGAGGCAGGCAGATTTTTGCAAGTTTGAGACCAGCCTAGACTATAAAGTGAGCCCAAGGCCAGCCTGAACCACATAGGGAGACCCTGTCCCTGTCTCAAACACACACACACACACACACACAATACGTGTCAATGGATTTATTGCTGTTTATGATGTATCTTAATTTCACTGATGTCATTTGGGAGAGGCTAGTGGGAACAATTTTACCATTCACTTTTCCTGGCTCAGAATAATCTCCTAAGTTATCATTTTACTAAGATAGTTTCTAGCTAGCTGTGAAAATTACCAGGTACATGCTATAACAGCATACACAGTGGTTTTAACATTTTGAATTTAAAGATATCGTGAGAAGAAGCAGTGATGCACACCAGCACTTTAGGAGACTGAGGCAGGAGGATCAGAAGTTCAAGTCCCACACAGGCAACTTAGTGAGACCCTGTATCAAAATTAAAAGAGCTAGGAATATAGCTCAGTGCAAAGATCTAGGGTTCAATCCCCAATAACTGAGAAGGAAACAAGATAATGAGAGTATGATGGGAACAGACTATGGATTTGTTAATAGCAAGTTACAGTAATAATTGTTGAACCTGAAAAGTTAGTGTACTGAACTAACAATTATCAAAACTTAGAGCCACACCGGGTGTGGTGAGGCATAGCCATCATCTCAGCTACTCAAGAAGCTGAGGCAGGAAGACCACAAATTCTAGGCCAGTTTGGGCAACTTAGCAAGAAGGCACTCTGTCTCAAGATAAAAGTAAAAAAAAAAAAAGGAAAGGAAAGAAAGAAAAAGGTCTGGAAATACAGCTCAGTGGTATAGCATTCCTGGGTTCACCCCTAGTTCCACAGCAACAAAAGACGCTTGAAGCAATCCCAGGCTGCAGGTTGCTCTTGCCATAGCACTCTGCTTTTAAATCTGCCAGTCTCTTGGCTGGTGGAAGTTCTATTTTTCTTAGAACCATTTTTCTTTCTAGGGAACTCTCCTGTGCAAAATGTGAGTCAAGTGCTATATAAGATGTCAGTTACTGAATAGGCAGCTCAGTATGAAACAGGATCTGTTACATGAAAATTCCTGAGCTCCAGACATAGCCAACCTTCCAGAAAAATGTGTTGCATACTTTGGAATTCTCAGTCAAGAGTTCTTGACTTCCTCATCTCCTATGTATGCCTTTAGGTACAACTAAGGCAAACTAGGTGTAACTGGGGATATTTTCCTGCCCATTCTTCTTCCCCCCAGCAGATGACATCAAGCCATGCCCACGCTGCAGTGCTTATATTATCAAGATGAACGATGGAAGCTGTAATCACATGACCTGTGCGGTGTGTGGCTGTGAATTCTGCTGGCTTTGTATGAAAGAGATTTCAGACTTGCATTACCTCAGGTGAGATAGAAAATACAGTCCCTTGTTTTCATGGTATTATTCTCTTAGCCATTTTGAAAAAAAGATGTAGTTGTTTAGTCATTACAGAATAAGGAAGCTATGAAAAGTGTCTTTGATGCACCCTCTGATCATGTTTTTCTCTAGCTCAGCAACCTCCTGGCATCATTTCTGTTACCTTCTAGAATGTGTCTCATTCACCTCTAGTGTGGCTTTGAAAGCTTTCCCCAATCTAGCTCTAATCTATTTTTCTAGTCATGCTGTGTTTCATACAACCTGAGCCTGCTGTTCCCTGTGTCTCTTTTTATTATTTTGGCTCTCTATCATTCTTATTTTCTGCCTCATTCTTGACTGGCATTCCTTTATTGCTTTCATTATAAATGCCATCACTACTTTGTATATATGTCTAGTCCTACTAAACTATGACTTTTATGGTTTATTGTATGTAGTGAGTTTCCAAAGACCTGAGTGAAAAATAATATATTCTTCTAGAGTAAATATTTAGAAACTTTGTCATGTGGTGTTCACTGTGTGTACAGAAATACCTCACCTTCAATTTAGTGAACATTTCAGTATTCACTATGTAACAGTTGTTAGGGACATGAGAGTGAATATGACATGATTTCTACTTTCAAAATTGCTTATCCTCGGGGCTGGGGGTTTAGCTCAGCGACATAAGCACTTGCTTGGCAAGTGCGAGGTCAGGAGTTTGATCCTCGGTACCAAAAAAAAAAAAAAAAATGCTTATCCTGTTGGGTACAGAAGATAGCACAAAGGGAATGAGGAACAAGAATCAGGCACAGCAGGGTTGAGTGTAAAAGTATTCAAACCAGGAGTATCAAACTAAGATAAAGAATATGATAAGCTTTTTATCATTTCCTAGAAGCAACGTGTTCACTAGCTACAGGGCACAGTGCATTTAAATGAGATGTCAAGTGCACAGGCTACACAGAATCCCAAGCGTCAGTCAGGAAACTGGATCACTGTTAATGGGTCAAGGAAGATAGAGTTCAGTCGGGGAGGAGGAAAAGGAGTTTCAGTTGTGGAGACCTGTCTTTACCAAAAGCTACTAGGAGCCAAGAGCTCTAATAGTCTGGGCTTATCCTTTGCCCTCCTTGTGTAATACACTTGTTTCCTGTCACCTCTGGTAACTTAATCACTCCTATTGAAAAAAAGCTGGTGCTCTTATCAAGTCCTCTGGTGGTCATAGCTGTGTTTATAAAATTGACGTGAAATTGACGTTAATTTCAGCCTGTTTCCTCTGTAGTCCCTCTGGCTGTACATTCTGGGGCAAGAAGCCATGGAGCCGGAAGAAGAAAATTCTTTGGCAGCTGGGCACATTGATTGGGGCTCCTGTGGGGATTTCTCTCATTGCTGGTATTGCCATTCCTGCCATGGTCATTGGCATTCCTGTTTACGTTGGAAGGAAGGTAAGACATGCTGAGTTCGGTGCCTGTTCCACCATCAGGCTTGTTGGCAAAGGTTCAAGGAAAATGAGAAAAGTTTATACTTATTTCAGAGCTGTCTGAAAACCAGCTGGTTCCTAGCTAAAAATGACTTAAATTTATTAAATAAATTTAAAAATAAAAACAAAAAACATGAGATTTGAAAGTTCTTACTAACATCCTGGTCCTGGCTTGTCTTACTGACTAAAAATGAAATGCTTACTTCATTCCCCTGAATGCTTACTTCATTCCCCTGATCCATGTCCCTCTGCGTGGACATGGATACACGTCTGTGTAGTTTATGTATTCCTGGTCTGAGTTAGGTTAAAATTTGAGAAAGTTAGGGTTGAGGGTATGTTTTAAGATATGTAACTTATAAATGAGCATTCACTTGTCCTTTATTTCTGGCAAAATACTGGTGTCCTAAACTGCTGATCTGGATTTTCTTTTTTATTCTTAGATTCACAGCAGGTATGAAGGGAGGAAAACCTCCAAACACAAAAGGAATTTGGCCATCACAGGAGGAGTGACTTTATCGGTCATCGCTTCCCCGGTGATTGCGGCTGTCAGTGTTGGTAAGCTAGACAGGCCCATGATTTCTCTGCTACTTTTCTAGCCATACCAGTCCAGCCAGCTGGCCAGCTGTCCATCCTTCATTATGCCAGACTCACCTTGGTAGTTAACTCTACTTGATACTTTTCTGATTATTTTTTGGCTATAGTAAATTATTAGAGTCTGTCTTTCATTTAGTGCCTGGAACTGTCTGGTACACAGAAAAAGTTGAATTAAAGAAAACTGCCTTCAGCTCTAGCTTTTTATCCCTCTGTTTCATCATCTTGCCATGGGACTCAAAAAATTGAAGACACAATATTTTGGGAGGCATAAGGATTTGCCTTAGAAAAATAACATACAACTAACATTTCTTCATGTGCCAGGAATGGTTCTGATGTTTTGCATGTATCAATTCGTTTAACCCTCACAGTCCTCTCAAACACAGCATGTTCATAAACAGAAGGGTGCAGTAACTTTCCCCTGGTCATTTTGCAAGACACTCTTCTGAACTCACAATAACAAAGCCCTCCTACCTCACATAGAGCAGTTTTTTTGTTTTGTTTTGTTTTTGTTGAGATGGGGTCTCTATATAGTTCAGGCTGGGCTTGAATTTGTGGTGCCTCTCCTGCCTCAGTCCCCTGAGTGGAAGGATTACAGGCACCTGCCACTATAACTGGTCATAGTGTAATTTTGGAATTAACAGTGTGGAGGGATCCTGAACTCCAGTAGCCCCTTATTAAATGTTATATTCTTCATTGTTCCTACTCAGTGAATAAAAGAGAGGAAGTAGAAACAGTACATATTTGTTGGGCACTGCATACATTCTCATCAGCTCTGGGAGAGTAGGTCCGTAGTCAAGCAGCCAGTGAACTGGAGCTAAAATTCTCAGCCAGACCTTTCTGATTGCAAGTCAGATTGTCATCTGTTACATCAGGCAGCCTTTTTGAGCTCCCCACTGTCTTTCTTGGCCCTTTGTAAAGCGCTTTCTCTTTGCCCAGCCTTGGATGATTTACGGCAGTTGCAACCTGATGGCCTGCTGACATGCTTCCATCTCTTCCCGTAGGAATTGGTGTCCCCATTATGCTGGCATATGTCTATGGAGTTGTGCCCATTTCTCTCTGTCGGGGAGGTGGCTGTGGAGTTAGCACAGCCAATGGAAAGGGAGTGAAAATTGAGTTTGATGAAGATGATGGGCCAATCACAGGTAAAAAGATTTTTATTTCCATTGGAATTCAAAGAACACAAGATAAAAATTAATAAAATTCAGTACATTTTACAGAGAGCTTGTCTTTGAATTATTTTAGATAATGAGCTTTGCAGGGGTAAAGTATTTTTAGCTTTTCATTTCTTTGTTCCAGAACTACTAGGTTAATTCCTCTGATACTTGTCTCTATATGGCAGGTACAAACTAGTAGGATTCGAAGTAACTCCAAGTATGCTGGTGGCAGTAGTGATTATAATAAAGCCTGATATCTGAATGGTACTTTATAATTTTCAAAGGACTTTACATAGTTATTATCTTACTTTTTACAACAGTTTTCTGAAGGGGGAGGGCAAGGGCTATTATTATCCCTATTTAAATGAGAACTTCTTAAGCTTTTATTTTAGTAGCTATTAAGAGCTTCTGCAGAGAAGGTACTAGAACAAGTCTTGACTTCTACTTAAATGTTGTTTTCACTTTACCATTTTAACTGACCTGGACATAGAGCCCCCCAAAAGTTTTTCAGGCTTCCTCCAAGAATCCACATATCACCTAAACATATTTTGAAATCTCCAGTTTAATTAAAGGGAGCTACAGTGTAGTGGAAATAATATTAGACTTGGAATCACAATTTTAACTTGGTGTGACTGTGACTTTGGTGTAGTCATTTAGTTTTAAATTCTGATTTCTTTGTCTAAAAGTGAAGCTATTAGTACCTAGTTAATGTCAAGATTAAATACAAACCTATTAAAACACCCAATGTTTGATGGTTGCATATAGTAGCTGTTTATTGAGTGAATATCTTAGTACTTCTCTATATGAAAATCGTGCACTCTGAAGAGTTATTGCACAAAAATGCCTACTAAAGGACTGGGGATATAGCTCAGTGGCACAGCACTTGCCTGGTAAGCGAAAGGTTGTAAATTCAATTTCCAGTACCAAAAAATGCCTAATAAACTGTTTTGATGCTGTGCTGTCTCAAATTGAGGTGTTTGGTTCCATCCACAGTGGCTGATGCCTGGCGAGCCCTCAAAAATCCCAGCATTGGGGAAAGCAGCATTGAAGGCCTGACTAGTGTGCTAAGCACCAGTGGAAGCCCTACAGATGGACTCAGTGTAATGCAAGGCCCTTACAGTGAAACAGCCAGCTTTGCAGCCCTCTCAGGGGGTACGCTGAGTGGTGGCATTCTCTCCAGTGGCAAGGGAAAATACAGCAGGTAAGCAAAAAAGTAATTTCTAACAGAAATAGCTGAAATTATAAGTGATACTAAGCCATCTATACCAGGTCTATTCCCTACACTGTCTCTGTTTGATTTAATGGTCAGAGGTGTTTTCTTCTACTTTGAACAAAGTTAGAGTTCTTTCTGTTGTGCCATAGCTGCTCCATGTAAAGAATAATCTTGACTTAGATCCTCCCTCTACTGCCTTGGGCTGTCTGCTTCGAAAAGGGGAAGAAACAGACTTTTGTTTTGCTTTTTGGGGTTTTTTTGGTATTGTTTTGTTTTTTAATCTTTTTGAGACAGGGTTTTACTATGCATTTTGGGCTGGTTTTGAACTCACTTTGTAACCCAGGCTGGCCTCAAACTCACAGCAGATCCTCCAGCCTCAGTCTCCCACATGCTGGGATTACAGACATGGGTCACCATGACTGGAAAAATGCATTTTTTAGAATTCCTGAGGTTGGTTCTTGATTGGGCTAGTCATTGGCTTCCAGTGAACAACAGTTATACTGTATCTTATTATACCAGTACTATGGTCCTTGTAACCTTCCTGTCCCCATTTGATAGACAAAGATCAATTCTATGAATTTGTATTGAGAATATGTAAAACCTATGACTTTCATCATTTAGACAAATCAGAATATATTCAGAGGGGTTGACAAGCAGTTGATTCACTGAGACGAGCAGCCTGGGGAGGGGCGCAGGTGGAGCAAAGCAGTGTAGGGCGGTAGGGAAATGCTTACCTTCAAACATCTCAAGGCCTTCAGCTAGGAAGAGGATTAGATTTCTGTGACTTACACCAAAAAGATTAAAATAACTAGACAGAAATAATTTTGGTACAGTATTGAGAATATAGGAAGTGTTTAAAGTGAGACTAGATGACCATTTGGCTATTAAAAGTATTTAAGGTGAGCTAGATCTTACAGCTTTGTGCCTGTCAGTCACCTGGGCACCTCTTAAAAAAGATTTTAGGGCTCATCCCAGAATTAGTAACTCAGAGTCCCCTGCAGTGGGACCTGGGGATGGTTTGTGATTAGAAAAGGCTCCCTGGTGAGACTGTCTTACATAGCACATGACCCAGTAGCTGGGAACCAGGGAAGTAGGTGGTGTGGCCTTTGCCAGCTGAGAGCGAATCTGTGCAGCTACAGCTGTGGTCCCTGACCAGGTGCGCTGTCCTTTGCACGCCCCTCATTTTGCTGCCCTTACCATACCTCAACACATTCTTTTGTTGTCATTTTGTTTGTTTTGATTTTGGTTTTGTTTGTTTTTTTGAGATTGTCACTATGTAGTTCAGGCTGGCCTTGAACTCACTATGTAACCTATGTTGGCCTCAAACTCTGTGATCTCCTGCCTCAGCCTCTTGAGTGCTTGGGTTTACAAGCATGTGCAATCACGCCTGGCTTCCTCAGCACATTGTTGAAGGGCACTTGAAGTAGAGAAAGAGAGCAAAGGTACAAGTGCTTGGATGGAGGCTGCTGCTGACTGTGTCCCATGACTCTGATGTCAGTTGTGAGGGGAATCCCACCCCCATATGCTGGAGCTCTCTGAAAGCCAGCTTCTCTTAAAAGAGCAAACAGACATAATTGGAGAGTGACTTGCTGAAACTGCAGCTTAGCCAATCCAGCTGTTCCAGTTCTGTGAAAGCCTTTCTTTTATAGGAAGTGAATGAGTCAGATGGGTTTGACTGTGAAATCCATTATGAGGAAAATTTAAGTGTGCAACAAAATGGTGTTAAAACCAACAAAGGAAATAGTTATGGGTCTCAGCTATGAGACACCATTGGGAACGTGCTGCTCTACAGAGCGGGGAGGTTAGCTCTGATGATGAGTCCTTCAGTCCTATAGCTTGGAGGTAATTTGATTGCTAAGTGTTTGAATTCCTATTATGTCCAAGGCCTAGAGGATAATGTGTGAATGAGGTATAGTCTTTTTTTGTAGAGCTCACAGAGGAGTGGAAAAGAGGTACACAAATTGGTGAGTGGGAGATGGCTGTGGAAGTACTTAATTGAAAGTGGCTGATTTGTTGGACCAAGGGAAAATTGTATCTCTTGTTGTTAAGGACTGAATATAACTTTTTCAGGCAAAGAAAGGAGAAAAACTTCAGAGAAGGCTTCCAGGGAGTAGCATGTACAAAGCCATGGAGGTATAAAGTATAAATTTAGAATGACTATGATTTGGGACCTACAATGAGAGATGGAACTGGAAAGAGAGCTTCCTGGCAGACCAGGAAGGCCCTAACTTCCTGTTGGCAGGAGGCAGCCAAGAGTTAGAGAACTGCCAAAGTGACAGATCTCTGTCCACACTGGCACTGGTCTGGAGGCTGTTTGACTTGGGCTGAGGGCCTATGGGAAAGATAGCCCTGTGGTAATTATCCAGGCAGCCTATGTTGAAGGCCTGAAGTAAAGCAATGGTAGTGGGTTAGAAAGGAGGGGACGATTTCAATAGATATTTGAGAGAGAAAATGTGTGGGCATGTGTTTGAGCTGTTTGACAGTTGGAGATGATCAGACAGATCATCACAAATTCGCAAGAGAATAATGGAAGAGATGTGTGCCAGGAAGCAGTCTTTCTCAGAATGCCAGGTCTCGTATTAACTTGAACGTCCCCTCTTTACACAGGTTAGAAGTCCAAGCCGATGTCCAAAAGGAAATATTCCCCAAAGACACAGCCAGTCTTGGTGCAATTAGTGACAACGCAAGCACAAGAGCTATGGCCGGTTCCATAATCAGTTCCTACAACCCACAGGACAGGTATGTGACAGCCGGCTGCCAGGAACAGGGTGCATTGGATTGTGTCTGGTGGGCACTAGGTCTCCCGAAGCTCACTGCCTCCTTTACGCCCCATCTAGCAAGCTATGTCATGGGCCTTGTGATTTAATTCACTGAGCAAGTTCTTGGTCCTGGAGTGTTTGGCATGACTTGGTTCTTATTAGCATTTGATGTTTAGAAATTCCTTCCTTCCTTCCTTTCAGCCTTCTCTCCATCCTCCACTCCCACCACCACATGCCTGCTCTTAGTGTAAGTGTACCGTTACTCACATAGAACTTAAAAAGTGCTGGATTAGTGTTCATCAGTCTCTGTGAGTCTAGAGTTTCTGCTCTCTGCTTCTTGATATGGTTTCCTTGGCCTTTCTTTGTTTCATTTTGAGCAGTGTGTCTGGCTGGTGGGATTGCAGTACTTCTTAACTGTCTGGTTTCTAATTGTGACACAGTGATAAAAAGGCATAAATCTTTCACTTTCATATTTTGAGTGAGATAGATAGTATGAGGTTCTGGCCCTCAGTTGACACTTAGAAGCTGTGTGTAGATGTTTAAGGAGAGTTACTGAGGGGGTGTGCACATGCGCACACAGCAAAACATGAGCTCTAGTTCGCTGTTTACCCATAATTTTTTTTTTTTTTTTTTTGTCTTTTTCCTTTTTATCGGTACTGGGGATCGAACTCACGACTGCCTGCTTGCAGGGCAGGCGCTTATGCCGCTGAGCTAAATCTCCAGCCCCTTACCCATAATTTTTAATTTCGTTGTTCTGAACCCACAAACTGCTTTTACCAACAGGTATAGCATGCTCCATGCCCATGACTCAGCACAGTGGCTTTTGTCTCCACAGAGAATGCAATAACATGGAAATCCAAGTGGACATTGAAGCCAAACCAAGCCACTACCAGTTAGTGAGTGGAAGCAGTACGGAGGACTCACTCCATGTCCATGCTCAGATGGTGGAAAATGAAGAAGAAGGTAGTGGTGGAGGTAACAGTAGCAATGAAGAGGATCCTGCCTGCAGACACCAAAGCTGTGAACAGAAAGACTGCCCACCAAGCAAAGCTTGGGACATCAGCCTGGCCCAGCCGGAGAGCATCCGCAGTGACCTGGAGAGCTCTGACACGCAGTCAGACGATGTGCCAGACATCACCTCAGATGAGTGCGGCTCCCCCCGCTCCCACACTGCAGTCTGCCCTTCCACTCCCAGAACCCAAGGTGCACCGAGCCCAAGTGCCCACAAGAGCCTCTCTGCCCCAGCCGAGGGACAGACTGTCTTGAAGTCAGAAGGTGCAGAAGCCAGAGTATGAGGTGGAATGAATGCTCCTGTTGTGAGAAGCACATTTGTAACTGCATCTTTTGAAACCTTTTACTTTTTTTTTTTTTTTTTTTTTTTTTGGGAGGGGGGGTATGTGTTTTATTTCAGAGATTCTCTGGTCACATTTTCCCCAGGGAAATTCTGAGACAGTTGCAATTTCTTACCAGATAAAAGATAAAAAGAAATTTTACCCTTAGTTCTCCCCATACCTTTTTTAGTTTTAATTTATTGGTTAAACTGGTATTGGCATCTGTAAGGTGTGTCAAAGAGTGTACATATGTATGTGTGTATATTGTATGTATGCTAACATATTAATGAAGGACACATTTTAATAAAGATATCTCATAATTCAACTCATCTCAGTTTCCTTGGCTTAGATAGTCCAACAGAGCCAAGTGTTTGAAGCAGAACACACACCACATTTTTGGTAGTCTCTGAAGATGAGGTTTTCTAACAGCAGGAAAGAAGGATTGCACTCAAGTGCAACTACAGCGCTGTCACTTATAAACCAGTTACTCTCCTAACATGACAGCAAGCAAAGCAAGGCCTGATGTGGACTGTGCAGTCAGACTGAAGAATTATTAGCTGAGTCAGCTGGCTAGGGAAGCAGTAGATGGAAACGAACTTTGTTTGCCCTCTAGAGGCAACTTTGTAGTTTCCCTGTAAGAGCTTCCCTTATTCTCTTCTGCACTGTGGTGGCTCCTCATCCTGTGCTGCAGAGGGGGAAAGAGCTGGCAGTCCCAGCAGCTCTGCAGAGGTGCCTCAGTGAACAGTGCGTGGTTACAGGTTGAGGAACAGACTAGGCTCACTAGAGGGAAAGATGCACTGACTCTGCGTGATCACCAAACTGGCACAAGCCTCACTGTGCTGTCAGGTACATGCCCTCTGCTCCACAAAGCTTTGTTTTGCCAGTCTAAGGCAGAGAGAGTAAGAAATCTAGGATTTATAGTGAAAGGAAAAAAAACCTGCCACCAAAATCTCTGAATATAGTTAAATTCCATCTGACCTTACAGATAGGAACTGAGCTAAATTAGTACCACTTGGGATTTTGGCACTGCCTAGAATGTGTGTCCTTAAAATGAAAGCTCATACACAGAATAGCAGGAAAATTCAAAGAGCTCATGAAACCTGATGCAAGATTGCAAGTCTGGCAGTAACTTATTTTGTGACAGTGTGAATCAGTTTCTTTCATGCCCCCAGTGTCCCCAAGTTTAAACCATCTTAAAGAGCTTCCAGTGCCAGACTGTCACCTTCACGCAGGCCCAGAGCAGGAACTGAAAACATCCTTCCCTGAGGACCAGATGGCTTTCTGTTTCCTTTCACAGATGCAGCTGCCCTTGGTCTTCCTGGCCTGTGTTTTACTGCAATGAGGATGAGGACTGCACAACAGCCAGCATAGAAGATTCTTATCCCTTGGGTACTGCAGTCCAATTTAGCACATTTCCTCCTACCTGGGGCAGGAAATGGTTGTCAGTGGACTTTTGGGTCCCTGGACAAAGTGCCCTAGATGGTGTTCCCGTAGAAGAGAAGGACACACTGGGGAAGCAGGCAGACAGTCTGGAGGCCTGAAATGCAAAATAGCTGCTCAAGACTTGCAGTTCTCTTGAAGCTTCATCAAGAGAGCAGTTACTGGGGCAGGGGATTCAGCTCAGCGGCATAAGCGCCTGCCTTGCAAGCAGGCAGTCGTGAGTTCTATCCCTGGTACCAATAAAAAGGAAAAAGACAGAACAAAAAGCAGTTACCCTGGGGAAAATCAAAGCAGTCTGTTGGAGGGGTGTAGTTGGTAGTCGAACCTGTATTTCTTACCTGGGCTTCAGTTAATACTATGAGGTTTGCGCTCTTCACTCATGCAGTTTGTTTTCCCTTCACCCCGTGGGATAATAAGCCTAATTATGAGGTTAAAAAAGATGAGATGATACACTAGAAGTGCTTTTGGTAAAGGCCCATGTTCTTTCCTCCTGTAGGAATAAGAAGAAAAAAAAGGAATAAGAAGAAATAAATTAAAGGAGAGTCCATACATCACCTAAGAAAAGAAGCGCAGAACACTGGACCCATAGTTAGGAAAAAAATTAAATTGGACCCTTAGCAGCACTGCTGTCCCCTCCAACGCGTAGTAGCTAAAAGGGGCTCATCAGCCCCACCTGGAGGACAACATGAGCAATGCATTGGGAAAGTTGAATTTCCTGCAGCCTTCATTCATTCTGAAATACCTACTCATTTCAGCTGTGGGAAACAGCAAGGAGGAAAACTCAAGATTCCTGTCTCCAGGGAACTTACGTGCTCTGGGGAAAGATAGCCAGATACAGTCTTGATGAGGCCACCCACGTATGCCGAAGAAACAAAGAGACTTTCAGACATGCAACTTAGGCAGTGTGGGTCTTTTTGATATGGGTATAGTTCATGTGAGACCCAGATGTAGTGAAAAAGAGAATGTATGAACATCCAGAGAAAGAACGCTAGACATGAGGAATGATGTAGAAAGGTCGTTAGGGGACATCTTTGAGGTTTTGTTTTTGTTTTCTTAATATAACACTAGTAGTCTATATAGCTGGAACAAGATGAAGTGGATAGTAGATTAAGTTGAGAGGCAGCAGGAGGCAAGATTGTGTAGATTAGTAAAACAACCCGGAAGAGAAGGAAACGCAGTTTTTCTGAGGTCAAGAAAAAAAAGTAACATTCAGAGATAGAGAGTCGGGCAGCTAGCAATGGACTTCCAAAGCGGTTGAAACTAGGAATCATACTTGGATAGGTCAATCCAAAGAAGCTGGCAGATACGGTAAATCTGTACGTACTTCCCTGACCTCATGTGCCATCTTATACTGCAGAGGCTGGAAACTAAAACCTTGTGTCTTAGATTTCCTGGAAGCCAACACTGAATTTGCCAATTGGATATAAAGTGAGATGTCGAAGAAAGAAATGTTTCACCGTCATGTTTAGTTGTACAGGTTATTTCTCCTGCAAGTGTAGTTTCTCTTTAATGGTACTCCATTGTCCATCAGGTATCCCTTCAGGTTTGTGGGCACTGAAGGGTGTCTTGACCCATGGACAGCAGCTTGTGATAAGTGTCCCTGTGGTCAACCTGGGTGGCCTCCTGATTCCTCATGTCCCTGTTAGTGGTAGAGGTGGCAGCTCTGCTTTCATGGTAGCCAAGTCTGGGAATACTCTAGAAGCCCACGCGGTAGCACTCCTGCTCAGGTTCCCCATCTCTTTGCACCTAATTTGTGCATCTTGACTCCTTTTCTGCTTAAAATTGGTGGAGAAGTTTTGTTTTCTACAACTACTTTTGGTTCCCAAATTGGCTACTGACAACAAGTACTTTTAGTTAGATTAGTTACCACTAAGGCTGGGTTTGAAAGAGAGAAGGATCTTGTTGCCTTTGGAAAATAATACAGTGGTAAGCAAGGTTTATGTTATGGTCACCTAAGATGCACCATCATGTGGAGGAAAGCCTGGCAGATCCAGTGGCTGTCCTGGTGGACCATCATGTAAGAAGTGAGGATTTAGATAACTAGACAGTGAGGCTAAAAATAGGAAGGTAAAAGCTCAGTGTATCCTCAGCTTGAGGTAAGTACAGAAGATCCCAAAAGAATTCTGTCTCAAAGGCTGCTGTACATAAAAATCATGGGAATGTACCATGCCTTTTATGAAAAAAGGGCATTGTTGGGAAAGTGGGACTCTGAAGTAAAAAATGGGGACGTTTGACAAGACTTGGATAATTCCTAGTGCTCTTAGCCCACTTGTTCCACTTGGCCCTTCTGCCTGATGTGACGGGTTCTGCTCCTTGAAGACCCGTGGATAACTGCCTTGAAAGGGAACTTGCTAGCACTTTTCATGATCTTGCTACAGTACCTCATTCCCAACACATCTGTAGCTATGGAGTCAGATCAGTGCTTCTGGGAGGTAATTTTATCTGGGAAAGATTTATAGAAAGCTTGCAACATTTTGCCAATTTGTGTCAACAGAAACTGAGAGGGAAGAGTAGAATTTTTTTTTTTTTTTTTTTTTTTTGAGACAGGGTTTTGCTATGTAGTTCAGGCTGGCCTTGAACTTGTGGCCATCCTTCTGCCTCTCCTCCCAAGTGCTGAGATTGCAAATGTGTGCCACTATACCTGGTTGGGCTGGATTTTAAATGTGTTAGGAACAAGTTAATATTTTCATTTTAGTTTATGAGAAATTCTGGATTTAATGTATTTATTGGCATTAGCAGCTAAAAATGGTTCCTGGCTGGTTAGCTGGATGAAACTTAGATTTAAAAGTGGCCTACACTTAAAGATATTGAGATGCTAAAATTTCCTTAATTAGAAGAACCAAAAGCACAATCACAAAAGTGTTGATTGTAGATTTACTCTATGTGTGACCTACTGATCTAATTTTGCCCTTCAGAATTACCTAGATGCTGTCCTTTCATCATGGAATTGGAAAATACATAAATAAGGAGGACACTGGAGTCTTTTCTGGGGTCTTGTGTTTGTTTCCACAGTGCTGAGGATGGAACCTGGGGCTTTATACATCGTAGGCAAGCCCTTCACTACTGAGCTGCATCACCATCCTCCTCATGTTGAACAAAGATGCAGGAATGTACATCCTTGCTAGGCTGAGCATGAAGCTAAAGGACAAGACCTTTGAAATGGCATCTCCTGGATGATGGGATTCTGAGGTCTGAAGTGGTGTACCAGGCCAACAAAGCTGGAGTGATGGAAAGCATATGGGTACTGGGACCAAGGATATAGCTCAATGGCGAAGCGCCTGCCTGGCAAGCATGTGGTCCTGAGTTCGATTTCCAGTACCCACCCAAAACACATGTGGATAACTGCTGATATCTTACTTGGTTTATGTAGCAAAACAAAACCTAAGGTCTGGCAAATAGAGCCTGTTAGAACTTCCAAAATGGAGCATCATGGGCATGTAGTCATCAGAGCAAGGGAGACTGGGTAGCCTGAAGGGAGCACCAGCAATACCACTAAAACTACCTTAGAGATCTGTTTACTCCCCAAAGGAATCTTAACCCATTAACCTACGCTCCCAGGCTTCAGGAGCTGGAAACACCCATACCTTCAAAGATTACCTGGAAAGTAACCCTAAGCCAGCAAAAATCCTAAGGGACCTAGAAGGTGTTTGCGGTCTACTGATTAGAACAGAGGCTTTGGGGTTATAATGGATTGAATTCTCCCCAAAGTCATATGTTGAAGCCCTAAACCCCAGTTCCTCAAAATGTGACCTAATTTGGAGATAGAGTTGTTGCAGGTATAATTCAAATGCGATGAAATCACCCTAAAGGAGGTAACCCCGTAATCCAGCATGACAGGCGTTGGTATAAAAGAGGACTTTTGGGCACAGATACGCACATATTCTG